GTTGGTTCCCATACCAGAACTAGGTAGGTTTCGTTTACATGCATGTAGTTCTCCCTCACTCTGGTTGTTCTATGTGTTCCAGTTTTCTAGCCAGAAAGGAACATGAGAGGAAAGAAGAGGAGGAAGGAAGGAGGGAAGGAGAGAGGAAAAGGATATGCCTTTATTTCTTGCAAATAGTTGCCACTGCAGTTAGAGAAATAGGAAATTAACAAAATGAATAAAATATAAATGTTGCTGGCCCAAGCATCTATAGCTTTTTGCAAGCCTCTGCCATGGCAATATATATTCTTTTTTCTGCTTATCCTCTCTTACTCCACACTTTCTAATCTTCTTCAGAGTCAGGCTGTTCCTCATCCTCTTCTAGATAATTATAGTAGAAACCAAATGATCAACCAGCAAAGGATATGGAAATATGTGTGCAAAGTAAACTTTGGAAAAAATCAATAAATATGACATAAAATAAAAATAAATACATCCCAAACAGGTCTTTTTATTTAACATAAGGCCAAAGAAGCTATCAGGCGTTGCTGAATACTGTCCACTAGCTATACAAAATATTGTCTGCATGCCTCGCAAACACCAAAATATCTGCTGGAAATGCCATAGAAATAAATAACTTCTGCTATAAACACATGAAAACATATCAAACTGTTATCTCTTTAAACATATTGTAAATAAAAAAAATTACCAGTACTTCTACATAATAAATATTAAGAAACCATTGACATAGTTGAAATGCACTCATATAAATTAACAACTTTAATTACATTAGCCAAATAGACATTGGTTAAAGAACTGCATGTAGTATGCCAAAGGAAAAAAAAAACAAAATAAAAATAAAAACACACAAACAAACAACATCAACCACAGAACATAAAAAATTTTTAAAACAAAACAGGCTTCAGATTATCTTGGCTTTCATAATTATATTTTTCTTTTAAAGAAAAATATCAACTCATTGTCAATGCACTTTTTCCAAAGCATTTAAATAGAGGGTAAAACCCATTGAAAATTAATACAGAAGAAATGATTCACTTTATGCATAAAAATAAATAATAATATAGCTGAGACATGTGGTTTGTTTCTGCTCTTGAAGATGCGAACAGCTTCTAAGCATTCATTTTCTCTGACCCATACAATAGCTTCTCAGTAATACAGGGTTTATTTTAAACACATACAATGTCCACCCCCAAACCTTCTGCCCACATCTACAAGTTTCATTTATTATGTAGGTTTTCAGGGTGACTAAGTTTTCTCTACATTGAAAAGGGAAGTTGCCAAAAAGGCCCACAGGAAATCATGTTTTCAAGTGAATGTGATAATTTGAACCTCTGCTTAATGCAACTGAGGCATATTTGTCTGTATTTAGAGTCCCCTCTTGAAGTTCAATCCTACAAGTGTGAAAAAAAATTTTTTCCTTGTTTTAACTTTGAGGAGACTGTAAGAACTCTTTTTGGTAATGGAGAGCGGAATCAATCTTAAATGAACTTCAAATAGGCTATGTGCTGTGATAACAAAATCCCAGCAAGTGCGTCAAAGTTTGCCTTACTTTTGGGGGGGGGGGAGAAAAGGAAAGTTCAGCCTATAAAATTCTTGTTATTTTGAGATATTGAGGACAAGCGCCTTTTAGCGCTTCTAGAATTAGTGTGGGCAGATACTTGAGAGCACAGAGTTCAGCCCCCGAGTAAAAGTGGCAAGATAGTACAATCAGATAGAGATACCCTCCTTTATCATGTATGGTAAGAGTACAAAGAAGAGGATAGAATTTAAAAGCACTTTATTTTGGCCTAATGTGGCTACGTGAAAAGAGTGATTGTTCACAAGGCTTTGTTACTTATGCAATTGTTAAAGATGGTAAAACAGTATCTTCCAATATTATTAAAGGTGGTAGCAATTTGTAATTCTATATCAAGGCCATATATATTTAAATGAGACAGGTTAAAATTTGTGGGTCCATGATAACCCAAACATTTAGTATTCATTTATAATACTGTCATACGGAATTTCACTTAACTCTGTTTATAATTATCATGGCCACTAACCAAACCCCAGTTTATCCCTGGCATATCTAGGATTTATAGGGCTTAACAAAATGGCAGACAGATTTGAGATGAATGGGAGCTGAATAGAGCTGTCTTTGTAAATTCCTATTTTTCCCATGGCCTTGACTTTCTGCACCATTGCACAGTGAACTGGGACTTATATCCTCACACTATTTCCCTGGGTTCCAGTGTTATTCCCAGTATCAAAAAGAAGCCTGAAAAGCTTTCTGTTAAAATTGGAAAATTGGCCATTTACTCCTTGCCCCAGCTTTCCTCACCAAGCCTACCTTCTCCACATGCGTGATACCCAAGGCCTGTAGACCTTCATTAGAATCTGCTATGAGCTTCTCCCACAGCACAGACTGTGTTTCCTGCATAAGACAGAGTGGGCCCCTAAACAATAAGTCTATGTGCCCAGTAACAAGACTAAGGTAACCTCCTGCATAACTTCTTGTGTTGTATATACTGACTGAGTCTAGTTTTAGAATACCTTTGATAATATTGGGTCTGAAACGGATAGTTCATTCTCCTCCAACTACTCTTGAATCCTTGAATTGACACAAGGCTATGAGAATTGCCATTTTACAGAATACTGATGAAAATAGGCTTTCTCACTTAGAAATGTTTTCCAATTTTACCAACTTTTACCAACTTTAAATAAGTTGGCTAAAATAAGGCTCTGTATTTTAAACACATAAATGAATAACTTATTAGCTGTTCTAGGCAAGGAAAATACTGAAATAAAGTAGAGACACCTAGCTTTAAGCATACACTTTGATGTCTATAAGACATGGGTTTTTGGTTTGGTTCAGTTTGATTTGGTTTGATTTGTTTTGTTTGCATCTGAATCAATACATAAAACCTTGCACACCAAGAATTTTGGCAGCAAATTAAAATATTAGAGAGTTGAGCTGGGGATGTAGCTCAGTGGTGCTGTGCCTGCCTGACAAGCACAAGATCCTGAGTTTAATCCCCAGTACAAAAAAAGAATATATATTTTTTTTTTATAAGAATTGTGCTACTCCCCTCATCCCTACTTCCTAACTGTTCTCTTCCTCAATTTCCACTCTCTTTAAACACTTTCCTCCAAAAATTTAGCTTTTAGCTAGTAACAACACTAATTAAACTCACTGTGCAAGTAATATCTCTTACAATCAGACCTCAAAACAAGCAAAAACTGCACCCACCTCTTTTATTCTGGCCTGAAGTTTTTTTTTTTTTCAAAAAAGTTTCTGATTTAAGATTGATTCCAATATTCCAATAGATAATAAATATAAAGTGAAAACAATCAGCCCATCGTTTTGACTAGCATCCTGTTTTCCCCACGGGGGATAACTTATAGGAGATGGGGAGCAAGAAAGACAAAGGAATTTGATCCCTGTACATTTACAGAGGGCCTTGTTGGAGAGTCACTGGAATTATCAGGCTTTTGCCATCCAAATTTCTGAAATGTGCCCACCTAGTTCAGAGTAAAAGCAAAAACTATAGCCTATCCTTCTTAAAAATACTGTGTTTTGCACACAAACATTCATTGCTTTAAGAACATTAAAAAAAGACAACCTGAAGTGCTTAAATCGTGTATGGACATGGTACAATACATGTATATATACACACAGGTATGCGTATGCACAAGCAATGTATAGATACACATACAAGCATGTAGTCTCATGAATTTGATTGAACTTGATATCCAACAGTGTACAACTACTGTACATCCAGTATGAAATGTCCTGTTTCATGGATGTCAAAAGAGTCAAAAACCAAACTTCTCAGGTTGTTTAAGCCTGAACACAATCCACCCTACTCCACCTTGACGCCCAACCCCTGACTCACGGATGGTGTATGATTACCAATCACAGACAGAATGTTTAAAGGCTCACACAAATGTCTTTGGTGTATGTGTCTATTTTTTTAAGGTACAAAATAATAATAATAATTATAATTATAATAATAAAAATAGCTATTTTGTGTGCTGTAGCAGTTCTTTTATAGCTCACATTAAGTGCAGCTCTTAAACCCCACCCCCACCCCCACCCAAAGAAAATACTTGTTAAATAAGGATTAGACAGGTCAAATACCATTGTAGTGCAAATAGTAAACGATAAAAAAAAACAACATTTACAAAATATAGAAATGTTTGGATCCAACAGATGGACAAACATATTCCTTTCAAGTATCTCTCCTTGAAGAAAATAAAAATTAATCAGGTTATTTCCAATACAAAAAAGTCTCTCTTTTTGTTCTCTCTCAGGTAAACAGTTTCAAACGTATTAGGTTGCATAGTTCTAAGATCAGAAGCACCTTAACGAATTGTAACTTGGTATTCATTTTTCCTTGATCTTTCTCTCTTCCCATTCTTGTTGTCAATGTTTTTTGTTTGTTTGTTTGTTTATGTTGGTTTTGTTTTGTCTCGCTGGAATCGTGGTGCAGAAAAAGAACGTGTGACGGCCTGCACACTGTTGTTCTTTTACCAGAACGTGTATATAGGTTGTGTGTGCAAATGCCGGTATGTGAATGTGTGTGTCTGCTGATGTACACAGAGATAGAGTCACACAGGCAAGCTGATGACCTGGGTGATTGGGTGGGACTGGCCCTTTTAAACTCATGGCTTTCTAGACGTTATTTGGGTTGTGCTAGTCCATAGGAACACAGACTAGACCAATGGACTTTGAGGTTCTCGAGGGAACCGCAGCAGGGGGGAGAGAACAATACCCCATTGTAACAACTGATGTCATCAGTTTGATTTCAGAAGAAATGAAGGGTACCCCTTTCTCCCTATCCCTCCCAATTCCTGTCTCCTTCACTGCTTCATCTCTGAGCCCTGGCTAAGGATTTGTTTTCCTCATCTTCCTTCATCTGTTTCATAGGTTCTGTTTTTAGTTTAGTTTTTGTGGTTTTTGATGGGTTTTTTTTGTTGTTGTTTTTTTTTTCGAAATTTCTGTTTTTTTGTTTTTTTGTTGATTTTTTTTTTTTCCTGGTTGATTAACTCAGAAACCTTAAAAAAAAAAAATCTTCATTTTTGCCATTGTCTTCACCGGCAGCTCTAGCTCCCTCTTCCCCCCAGGCCGGGAGACTCTAGGAGCACCCACACTCCTCCACGATCATGTTCTGAATGTCTTTTTTGATGATGTTTTGGCCATCATCGTAGTACAGCATCGACATAGGTCTCAGCTTGGTGGGCACACAGCACGATTTGAGGTTGGCAAAGGGGCTGTGACCCCGCATGCGGTAGTGGTTGATGACCGTCGAGTGGAAGGAAAGCGAAGACCCCGACGTGCCTGCTATGTGGCTGGGGCACTCACCCTCGCAGTAGTTGGCGTGGTAGCCAGAGGGCGCGATGATCCAGTCGTTCCAGCCAATGTCTTTGAAGCTGACGAAGAACTGTTTCTTACAGCAGATGTTGACCTTGCCGTCGCACTCCAAGCCCCGCCGTCGCCTGCGGTGCGGGTGATCTTCAGACTGCCGGGCCTGCAGCATGAGGAAAGGTCTGTGAGACTGCTCCTTCTCCTCCTCCACTGCGCCTGCGCCGCCACCCTGCTTCTTCCCATCCCCCTCCTCTTCTTTCTTCTTCTTCTTGCCCAGGAGCACCAGGCTGGCCCCACTGTCCTGGCACTGCTCACAGGCAATCCGTACGTCCAGGGAGGTCTTGCCCTGGTCCAGCAGCCTCTGGATGCTGCTGGAGACTGGGAAGATGTGCCAGGTGCTCTTCCGTGCGTCCACCGCCTTCTCCGACAGCAACAGTTCACTCCTCTCCCCCTTTAAACCCACTTCCTCGGCCTCATCGCCCGCATCCAAGCTGCCCTGTGGGTGCTTCTGCTGCTGGAAGAGACGGATGGTGACCTTGGTCCTCGTCCTGTTGGCCTTGGGGACTTTCAGGAAGAGCCACACTTCTGCGCGCTCCACCACAGACAGGTCACTGCCTTCCTTGGAAATCTCAAAGTGCAGCGTCTTCCTGGCTGCGCCTGAAGAGGAAACAACACAAGAGGAAAACAAGTACATTGGTTAAGTCCAGCATTCACATTCAGCTTCTGGACTCAGTCCAAGCTACCAAGAGTCTCAGTCCCTGGTCCCCAAACGGAGAGCCACAGGCCACCTGCCCCAGGATGGCTACCAAGCTAATAATGGTCTCTACAGTTGTAAACGGTTTAAGAAGAAGATATTATGTGATATGTGAAACTGATCTGAAGTTCAAACCGGTGCCTGCAAATAAAGTCCCACTGGACCACAGTCACCCTCGCCTCTTTGTATGCAGCCTGTGGCTGTATTTGCACTATATCACAGGACTGGGTAGTTACGAGAGGGATTTCGAACCACAAAACCTAAAATATTGACTCTGGCCTCTCTCAGAAAAATGTTTGCAGAGGCTTGTGCTAAAATGAAGATGGCCTAGGGGTCTGACTGTTGATTGGCTGCTTAATATGTCTCGCCTTCCACAAAACGGGAATGACAGGATGACACCTGACCCATTATTTCGGATCTTGGAAGGATCGAGGTTGCTAACGTAAAGAAAAATAGTCTGAAAGCCCCAGCAAGCTAGGGAAATACTTGCACACAGAAAGACAAGCACCCTCTCCTCTGGCCCTCTGCAGGTAAATGTGGGCAGCACCTATTAACCACATCTCCTGTTTGTCATCTCCCCCTCCCAGCCTCAATCCCACAGCACAATATTCTTTATGCAGTCTCTATGGCATCGTCAGACTCCTCTCCACTCGGCTCTGAGTTAAGCCACTAAAGGAATCTTTCCCATGGCTCTGCTGCCACATCCTCTCCCATGTTCTTTCCGGACTTCCTATTGCTCTCAGCATCCCGCAGAGACTTCCAGCCCTGCCCAGCCCCCTGTCCTGTGTGCTGCAGTTAAAGGTGATTCCCCAGGGTTTGAGAATCCCATGAGTGACCCTTGCTGCTCCTGCTGCCTAGAGTACTCCTGGCCCTGCCCCACTCCCAACACACTGCCCTTCCTTTAACAATGCAGATTGGACAGCACTTTCTCCAGAAGGCTCCCTCTCCTCTGTCTCCTCCACTACCACCTTCCTCTTATGTCTCTAAGACACCTGAGATCTGAGGTCTGATCTCCTTCACTCCTATAGCCTGATGTTTACCAGAGAGTAGGCAATTACTTGATTATTAGCTAACCAGATGTGGTGATGCACACCTGTAATCTCAGCACGTGGGAAGGCTGAGGCAGGAGGATTGCAAGTTCAAGGCCAGTTTGGGCAATTGGCAATTTGGAGATACCCCATCTTAAAATAATAAGAAAGGGCCGGGGATGTAGCTCAGTGCAAAGGCCCTGCATTCAATCTCCAGTTCCACTCATAAACACACTAAAGAAGACACCCTTAACATTGAGTTATATGAAGTTAATAGAGCCACCTCCGCCCTCTGAATCCCTTCATCCCTTTAGAATGCACCTTTAGATGAGCACCAAAAACAGATTTCAGATAGCAAGTGCTGCTAACCCAGGGGAAATCCGTGCATTGTCAGGATGGTTGTATTCAGCGACCACTTGGTCCTACTTGATTTTAAAATTATAAAGTCGTCTCTTGCTCTTTTTACATGCACCTGCACCCTGATTATGCAGGTCCATTTACTAGGTATAAGAAGCAGGTATCCAGACTCAAACTCTTTGATTAATCAAATATTTTCCCTCACTTTCAGATGTCCCCTGGGTGGTATACAGAGACTTGTCTTTTTACCTGATGGTGTGCTTGCTTAACAACTATCCAATGTCCACAGATCCTGGGGACAAATCTGGGAACCATCTCCAAGAAGTTCATTCTAGAAGTCGCAACTCCCTAGGAGGATCGCCCTGCCTGGATTTCTATAGCTAACGGAAATCCAACTGTACTTATCACTCGAGGCCCTGAGATGTTTACGGTACTATAAATTTTAGGCACAGTTTCAAGTTCTCCGAAGCAGAAGGCAGCCTTCTCTGAGCACTGTGCACTGCCGACTCTGTTCTTAATTTAACACAGTCTGCACACTGTGATTATGATAGTGGGAAAATCACAGAGGCCAAGGCCAAGAAAGGCTGCATATGGACAGGAGGTACTCTCTGGCATCTGCCTTTAACCTTGCCATTACGATGGCAGCAGTGGCTTGGGAGTTCCTTCGACCTCATGTCGCTGGCCGGAGTTGAAATGAATAATAAAGCAGAGTTTATGATTCCATAGAGCCCAGAGTGGGGAGCAGCAAAGAGTGAAGCTGTCTTATTTTAGGAAGCACAATGACTTTGAAAGACAAAATGAATCCTGTACTACCCTTTGCAAAGAAGGGGTGGGGTTTTGGTGGTTGTTTGTGTCTTTAAGAAAAGGAAAGATTCCAGGAAGCGGAGTTCAATTATTTGATTTAAAATGGAAAGGAACTGCTGATTTCTATATGGTAGGGTCCTGCCCTGCTGAGACCACTAAGAAATGTCCCCAGCGTCTGCTCTGCTGGAGCAGCTTGCAGGTCCCTTCCGGGTGGCATCTCTGCCCTCCTCCTGAGAATGTTACCAGGCTAGCTGTTGTTTCCCCTGTACCTTTAGGTCAGACAGCTTTTGAAATCCTATACTGCAAAAAGCGCCACTCTAGAGAGACAGTAGATGCTAAATTAGGGAAGCCGGAGACCACAAGGTTGCCTTTTGGTTTTCTAGGAAAGAGCTCATGATCAGTGCCCTAGATATGAAGACTACAGAGTTTCGGGGACCACACCCCCAGGATCCATTCTGTACTCCCCAACACTGGGCAGGGGGTGAGTGTGAGGGGTGGGATGGCAATGTTGACCCCACATGCTGGACCTCTCACACACAAAGTCCAGAGCTATCCGGATGCCTGGGGTTGGCTGGTAATAGAGGGTTAATTGGCCGGCCAGAGCAAGTGACAGCCTCGTGTGAATTGCTTTTGTAGGGCCAGTAAGGCCAGAGGCCAGAGCTTCCTGTCACACTGGCCTGCAGGCCAGGCTCCCCATTTCACAGGAGCCAGTCTCTCATGTGTGATCTGGCCCCACCCCATCTTCACAGGCAGCTGTACTTGGAAGCGAATGATTTAGTGTTCCTGAGAGAGGATTGTACAAAGAGAGCACTCATTAGAGGGGGCTCAATCTGTCAGGTGCTGTTATATTAGGATCACAGAGTCATCATAAAATTACTTTCATGCTGGTCTTGGCTGATAACTCACTGTGTGGCATCACCATTGTATTGTGGAGGCTCGGGAGCTGATTTATGCATCAGTTTAATTATCTGAACTGAAAGACTCTGCTCCCTGTATTCACATCTACTGCCTGCATGCTTTCTCTCTCCCCCATATTTCTGACATTTGGATTTTCCCCCTACTAATTGACATGCCTGCCGCCTCCTTCTCCTGGTGTCCATTTCTGGAACTGCTATTTGTATATTGCATGATATTTTATCGGGGGAAAAAATAAAACTGAGATCCAATTTCACGAAAATGCTGTTTGCCATAATGCTCAGGAGGACGGGGGGAAGAGAAAGAGTCAAGTTTTCCTACTGTCTACCCCATGTGCAGGTACATTTTACAAGTTCTATTGTATTCTGACTTATTAAGCAGTGCATATATATTTTTTCTTTTACATTAGCTCATTGCAGAAGGGGGTGGGGAGGATGAACTGGCTGGAAGCTGACATGGGATTACTTTTTATCAGAGCTGTCGGTTTCAGAAATATATTATAGCCCTCAGATGTCTCAGGGATGAAAAATAAAATAAATAACAGGACAACTTAGTCTATTCCCTTTCTGTCTCTATTACCTGAGAGAAATTGCTGTACTTGAGCATCGCTGAAAGGATACCCCAATCTGCAAATCTCTGCACATAACAATTTGGAAATGGAAGAAGGCTGCCTACAGTTGGGGCATTTAGGATCAATTTTGAATCAGTTTTAGGTGTGATTTAAATAGCCGGTGCTATAAAATCAAGAAATGGAAGAAGCCTCCCCATAATGCTCCATAAGCAGGTACGATGTTTGTTTGTACAGGTATGCTCTGAGTTCCTGCACTATTTCCTAGCTAACCAGATAGAGCTGGTTGCTTTGCTAATCTTTCCTTACCTACGCTCTGGTAATATTCTTTTCATCTTCTGTGCTTTTTTTTTTTTTCTTCCTGTGGCTTGTGAGCAATGCTTGTATCATAGCCTGCTCTGCCTGAGTAATTTACTAAGAAAAATCCCACGCAACCCTGTGTGGGTGATAATATCTCATCACTTGAACCCCTAGGAGCACAGTGGACAAAGTGGGGAGAAAAACTTTTCTCAAGTGGGGAGAAAAACGGTGCAGGAAAATGGGTAGGGAGAAATCTTGTACCTGGCAGGGAAAACCTCCGAAATGTTGCCTGGTGGGAGGGGTGGACTGAAGAAAGACTGCTCAAGCTGAAGGTAAAGGTGTGTGTAGCACATTCTCCTTTACCTTCAGGGTCTTGCAACAGTTCAATCACAGACGAAAGCCAAGGGTTAAACACCAAATCCCTTGTTCCCTTCCCCCACATTTGGATGCAAAAAAACAAAAACTGCTATTCATCCAAAAGTCCAGCAACTCAGATGTGTGGGTCTATGAACATTTGCAGTTTAATAACCAATACACCCATGCAGTGTTTTGGTTCTGTTTTGTTTTGTTTTCCTCACCAATGTCTTCTGTAAAGTATGTTGCCCTTTTACATGTGGCTAATAATTATGTCTCTGATGTTAATGTGGAAAGCCTTACTGTTTGAGGCGAATATTAAACTCACCGTGGGGGTAGGGTGCTGTAAGAAGAATCTGTTATTTTAATTTTCTATCCTTTGTCAAAGTCTCCCTTTGCCCAGCTATGGTAGAGTCCATGGTAGCACTATATAGAGCTACCATTTACAGGGTGCGTGTTCATATCTGGCCTGCGTTCAAGGCTTTCTGCAAAAGGTAGTCAGTGAGGTTTGGAAGGTTACTCTTCCTTTGACCTGAAGTAAAGAATCTTGCCTGGAGTAGAACTATTGGTTTGGTTTTAAATTATCTTGATTAAATTTTTTAGCCTTCATATCTCTCCTTAGCATCCATTATCGAAATGTTCAGCCAAAAACATTTATCATTCATGCCTCTTCCATTTAAATGGTGGTGAAGGAAGGTTAAATATTTGGGGGAGTGAAAGGGGTCTTAGCTTCCTATAAGCAGTAGAAAAAATTCCCAAAGCTCAACCCCATGGGATATCAGAGACTGCGAACTTCTACACTTTTGATTTTGTACCTAGGAACCAGTGAAGGATGAACAATTCTGAACTACAGCTCAGAGATCACTCTCAGGTTTTTCTGAGCAAAAGAGGGGCCAAGACAAATAATGTGTTTTCATGAAAGATGCCTGGAGTGGTATAACTCCAATTCCCCAAATGTGAGAATGGAGCTTCTACCCTGACATCTCCCCCATCCCCACTCTGGGAAACAGGCTCCTCAGGCCAAAACCTACTCCTGATCCCGTCCTTCACCCCCATACTCGCATTCTCTCCACACCCTCAGTTCCAAAGCGCACAAATCCTCCTCACCCCAACCCCATTTTCTTACGAGGCGTTAAATAAATCGCCTTTTCCTCCCTGTTAGAAGTCCCTGGACTTCTGTGGCTGGTGGAATGTGTTGATAAGACAGGCAAACCAAGGAACAAAATCAGGGGAGATGGAAGATGTTTTTGGAAAACCCAGGCGACTGTTTTAGGGAGAGACTGGTGAGCAAATCAGTATCGCTGATGATTCATGGTCACATTTCTCCTCTCTCTGCTTTGTTTGCTTTTGAAATTTATCACTCGCTTGCCTTCCATAGAGCTCGGGAATGTTCTCATATATCACCAGCCCTCCCGTTTCTGTGCCTTCTGCCTCATGTAATATCTCACAGGTAATCGCGTTTCTCCCACCCCACAAAATCCTAATTTTTTTTCAGGAGAATGAGAGAGAAGAAGACGGAAGTGACAATCACAAGATTAGAGCACTCTCTAGACTGGGGTTTCCAGTAGGCACAGTTGCTTTTCCCAGATTAACCGATAAAAAAGCCAAAGTCTTTGGAACCGCGCCCTCTTGTGGCCAGCTTTTCACCATTATTCAGAGAAGGAAGTATGAAAACCCCTAAAGATTCAGAGGTTCAGTGGGGGGTAATTCACAGTAAAGTTCAGAAGATAGGCAGGAATTGGAATGGTGGGACTCAATGCACTTTCAAATGGAGGGGGAGAGAGGATACACAACACAGCGAGCCTTCTTAGCCCCCCTGTCTGGGCATAGCATCCCCCCAAAAAGGGAGATTTATTTATGTGCCCTTTCCAGCAACATCAAGGTTGGGGGAGGGGAGAACTACCCGCTTCTTGATGTATCATTTGTCTTTCCTTCCCTATCCTTTCTACAATAATTGCTATCAACTGCTAAATTAATTATGAGATTCAGCATTTGGCAGGAATGGAGACTCAATGGTATATTGTTATTGTACATTGACAGATCAACTACTGTCATCAGTCAAAAGCAGATGAAATGAGATATATCAGCCAGGGAGGCCTCTGATTTTAGTTTCATTGGCAATTAAAGTGATAGTTGGCTTGGCTTCATTCATCCCTATCTTTCCTTTGAAGAAAGGACTGATAATAAACAGTGAGGATTTGGAGCCAGTCAGGCAAAGAATGCAGTAAACTTGGGGAGCAATTTTGGGTGACAGCCGTAAAAATGAAATCATTCCTATTTGTTGAAATGAATTTCAGAGCCTTACAATGATTCTTCATTCTTTAGCCAATAACGATTCGCCAGCTACACTGAGCGGGGTGGGGGGGCACTTTCTACCTGAGCAAAGGGGATGAATTCAGTTAAAACAGTTCAAGGAGCATTAGCTTTTGTAGTCCCTTTACTGCCATGAACATGTCTTGACTTTCTTCAAGAATTAAGGAGAGGACAGGCCAAGATTAAACATGCATCCTCAAACTGAGGAAACTTGGGGTTGAAAAGTGCGTCTGTCACACACTCCTAGGTGACACTTAGTGACTGGCTTCTATGCTGTGTGAATAGTTATAATGAAAACAAAAAGGCATGAACTTTTCTAGTCTCCAAGAACCTTGCTATTCCACATTGTTGGAAGGTTACTGAAGTTGAATTATTCCAAAAACAATAAGACATAATTAATTTTCATATATTCACTACAATCATTCAGAACATATTTCCTGGGTTGGCAAAATTAGCAGGAAAAATCTTACACTTAGGGTACTTTGCTTGGAGAATAGATTATCTTTACAGCAATTATGAAATCAGTGAAATTACATGAAATCAACTTAGAGTTGGTGTGTACAACTTCTCAGAGGAGAAAAATAAGCAACTGTAACAAGCCACTTCTAAGAATTCAAAATCAAGACGTAAACTCAACTAGGACTTTTCCCATTATGAATCTTACACTTTCGTCAAGTGTAAGTCCAATGAATTGCCTCATTTTCTCTCTAACTAAACACCAAACAGAGAAGCAAAAAAAAAAAAAATGACAAGATCCCACATAACTGAGTGAAAGATTGGCACTCATAGGAAGGCCATAAGTAAGACAGAATGTAAATGGCCTGATTCTTTCATTGCCAAATCTCTGAACGCCAAGAGAGTAAGTTTCTACATAAGTCTGGTAAGTTAGAAGAGAGCGACACTGTCAGCACTCGCTGTGGAATTTAAAGTGTCAAAGGCACAGGTATCCTGCATCCTATAATGCCATTAAAATCAACTGAGTAGGAGCTGCAATTGAGGCTATCAGAGATATAAATATGTATACGGGTCAAGACACAGAGTAGCCCTCGACACCTCGACACTGACATCCACTCCACACACAAGGCCCCATGTCATGAGCATTTTCTTTCCTACTTCTCTACCATTGAAAGGTTGAGGAAAATTAGGTAACAACTTGAAAATTGCCACATGACTTTTTTCCTCAATAAGCATTAGATGATAAAGTCACAGTAAGCACGCTTTTCAGGGAATGCATCAGGAAAGAACTGCACCAGCAAAGAAAGTGGGACATTCCCTAAATTAGAGAGGCTTTTGGGGAAAGATCTACCAAGCTAGCAAAGCTGCTAGAACACCAAGGTTTCTCCCACAGTGGGCTCCAGAGCAAGCAAGCTTTCTGCTTCCCCCCAAAGATGCATAGGTCTTATGCCCACTTTCTTGAAAATAGAATATCCTAGTCAACAGGTTTTCAGGATTGGAAATCCTGAGTGTTGCCTTAATTGTTTACACTGCTGCAACAAACTTTTAAACAAAAAGCTGGGAGTCTCTGCACATACTTTACTGGCCATATGCTCTATCACACAAAACAATGGCATTCCTTTCAAATGGAGTTGGCAAGGGATCCATTTCTTTAGCCTGGCATTACCATGAAAGCAACACGGTACTAACACATCTGTGTGCCCAGCCTGTATGATCTTGGAGGCATGCAAAAGCTCTGTGTCCCACAACTGTAAAAAGAGCCTGGCTCCAAGACTTAGGCTCCTACTTTTGACAGGTATTTTGCATTCAGCAACAGGTTACTGTGGTCCTGGGCCAATGAGAAGAATCTATTTATTAAAGTTCCTCCCCTTAAGGACTAAGTAAGAGTTCAGCACAGTATCTGAGAGCTCTCTGTCAAGGTTAAATTCCTTGGCATAGAGTTCTTAGTAACTTTACAAAGAACAAAACTGAGTTTTGGTTTGTGTGGGGGTGGTGGTCCTTTTCGCCTTTCCTTTTTTGCTCAAAGACCAAAAGTCAGGCTTCCCAAAATGATCTCTAGTTCACTATCAACTGTCTCCCAAAGTAGTTTCTCGCTGTCTCGGGTGTGCTCCACACACAGAAACAGAGATTCCAAAGGTAAAAATGACTGTCACTAGTAAATGTGCCCTGCATCCCTGTGCTGTGACCCCAGCTCGGACTTTTTAAAGGGGAAGGCTGGCTTTAAAACAATGGCTTCATCTGTGCCATTCCACCTGGATACCTGGCCACTCCGGCCTCCTTACCACAGTGAAAACTTTGGATGGGGTCTGGAAGCCGCCTCTGCTCCCCAAACACCGGAATGTGCTCAGGCTTTCACCCAGGCTGCTCTGATCTGGTTTCACAGGCAGGGGAAGGGAGCCCCTCACAGACTGACCCGGGAGCTTCCTCCCTGGGGACGACAGGCTGAGTTTAGCAAGTGTAAGCCGGTCCTCTCCAGACAGAGTCACTTGAGATCTCTCTTTCCCTGCCGTCCTCTCCCGCTCCCCTGCCACCCCTCTGTCCGCCACCATCCCCTCTTAACTGATCACCTTCGCAGGCAGCTTCCAGCTGGAGGGAAGAGAAGTTCCTGGTAGGACTGTCAAAGAAATCTATTTTACTGCCCCCGCCCCACCCCCGCCCCGCCAACGCCAGCACCGACCTGATTCTGCGAACGTGATGATCTCCGAGGTCTGCTCCAGCAGTTCATTCATTTCTGCTCTCCTTCCGATGTCATCTTCTATCTCCACGTACCCGTTTTCCCCCACTTTGCCCACATGGAGCTTTCTGATCGCATTCAGAAGCGCTGCTTTGGGCACTGGCTGGGTGACATCGGGTCTCTTCTTCAAGTGCAGCATGTTTAAGATGTGCTTCTTAACGGCTTCCACCATCTCTGGCTGAGAGTTGGGTACATCCTTTGGGAGAGTGGCCAGCGCGCAGGAAGGACAGTTGGGGGCTGCACTGTGCCCCTCGGATCCCGGGGTGGGGGAGCTCCTTACTATAATCCAGCAACTTGCCCACAGAAATCCTCGCAGCCAGAGCAAGGGCATCCTGGCAGCAAAAGTTGTTGTGATTGCCTCTTTAAAAGGCCTCGCTTTCCTCCCCCCTCACGCACAGGTTTTTTTTTTTTTTTTTTTTTTTTTTTTTTTTTTTTTCTTCTCCTCTTCAGCAAATTCTCTGGAACAAGAGCAAAAAGTTTTCTGTGAAGTTTTGTTTTCAGGTTCTCTCTCTGGAGGCAGTCAGGGTTGTAGGTTTGTGGCTGTCAGGGAGGAGAGTTCTGACTGTCTCCGAGTAAAAGAGAAGGAAGGAGGGAGGGAGGGAGGGAAGGAGGGAGGGAGAGACAGGGTGGGGGGAGACAGAGACAGAGAGGATGGGAGGGAGAGAGAGAGACAGGGAGAGAGGGGGAGAAAAGAGAGAGGGAAAGAGCGGGAAGGGGGAGAGAGAGAAGAGAGAGAGAGAGAGAGAGAGAGAGGGAATTGGCCCCACGTGAGTGAATGGGAGAGGGAGGGAGTCTGTCTGCGAGTAAAGGCTGTGATTAGGGAGGGGAGGGACAGCCCGTTTTCTGACAGGCTGCTTTCCTTCTGCTCCTGCTCCCTCACACACACCTCTCCTCCAATATCACCAGTCTCAGGGGTCCTGCATTCCCTTCTACCACCCATTCTCCTCATTTTATTCACTTCTTTTTTTGTATATTAGTATTTCTTCTTCTTCTTTTCCTTATCCTTCTGCCCAGTCCCTGTGCTTTATCCTCTTCCTTTTTTGGACAGGGAATAGAAACTCCAACCAAAGGCATAATCGCAACCCAAAGCTCTGACTTGATAGCAAAAGCCTCCCCCATACCGCGTAATCCCTACCCCCACCCTGGGCAGTGCAGTGTCCACCTGACCAGGAGGGCCAGGCAACAGGTACCTGAGGACAGGAGCCTGGGGCCCATGGGCAGCCATTCATTCACCCAGGAGAAGTCCTGAGCCTGAGGAGACTTTCATTCATTTTTCTTAAAGGTTCAAGGTCCTCACTCAGGGAAGGCAGTCTAACTGAACTTTTTGTTTGGAGGCCTTTGAGTGCCTCTGCTTTACCCAGCTAGGCAGGGCAGCAGGGCACTGAGAGATCTAAAGGGCAAGGGGCATTTTCCATGCCCAAGTCACAGGAGCTGCTATCCCCTTTCCCCATTCCAGGCTGGAATGACAGGCAGGAATTAAAGCCTACTACCCCTCACCCTGACTTCTTCGCAAATAAAATGCAGAATTCATTTGGCCATTCCCATATTCTTTCATAAAATGAGTGTGCTCTTATGGCTTGAATAGCTGGTCCTATGGAAGAGGAATCTCTAAAATATACTGACAAATTGTTTTGATCTGTCAAACGATAGTTTTTCAGCTTGTCCCCTACCCAGTCCTGACCAGTAGATGCCCAGACAGCCTCTTTGACTGCTTATTTTCCCCTCAAAGGAGCTGAGACCATCATGGATTTTAGTGTGCACAGAAAAGAAAAATGTGCATTTTTAAACAATGCCTAGGGCTTTTTTTTTCATTCTTCTCCCCGTTCCTTTTTTTTGTCTTTCATTTTCTGTTTATTGCTTTTATCTTGCAGAAGTATCTTTAAGGGTCCATCTGTTAAAACCCCACTTCCCTCTGGGTTTCTTTCCCACACATAAGCCCTCTTGGTTTCTGTAGATACCCTCAGCTTATATCTGACACCTAGTAGTTCAGAACATTCCAGTCAAGCAATGCAGTTTGGGTGAAAAGAGTTAAAATGGATCATTACTGCAAGAGTAAGATCTGAGTGCAAGAGGAAAGGAAGAGAAGATTGTGATATTAAGTAAAATTACAGTTAGCACAGGTAACAATCCTCTTCTGCACTGTATACGCTGGCCCCCTTTCCAAAACAACTATGTGTAAGATTTCCTGTTTCAAGCCTAACACTTTTGGGGTTTCAGCCCCAGGACCATCAATTATTCTGCTATTATTGATAAAACTTTGTATACATTACCTGAAAGTCTCTTTTTTAAAAAGTAAAGACTCGTGAAAAGATGAGGGAAGCATTATAATTTTTAATAAAACATCTTTGTACTATAATATTTAACATCACTCATCTATTTGGAGTCATAGATATAGTACCCAAAGAATTCTGTAGTCCAATTAAGTTTTATGAGAGTCTGAAGTAGAACTAAAAGTTTAATGACTCCAAAGAACTTAAGAGTCCTAAAAGTATCATTGAGATAAGTGCAACTTATCAATATTTGGATTCTTCCTGCATGTGAGTATGTGTGTGTTCCATAAAATTTACTGTTTGCAAATGTAACTCTTAAAAATAGCTCTCTCTGGCATATGTACTTGTATATATGTGCTGAGTGGGTTGTATAAACACATAATCTATTTACATGCTCTAGGACTATTAAAAGCTGTATTAACCTGCCTGAATAATAGGAAAAAGGTACAAATCACAATGCCCAGGGAAGTGCCAATAAGTTGTAAAATTCTTCCTAGTCATTCTAACTTGGAATGTGCAAAGAGCTCATAAGTAAGAATTAAAGAGCATTACCTTTCTGCTTGCTTCTCTCTCACCAGCCGGCTCTTGTATCATGTGTTAAGAGCTGTCTGAGCTCCTCTTCATGGTATTGGCACTGTGAAGTTTTATACTGTACTACTTATTTGTACACTAGCACATGGGTACCTCTGAAAAGAGGAGGGCTGGGGCTTTGTTTGGGATTGGTTAGAATCAGCATGACATCAGCCGATGACTGGTTTTTCCAGAGTGAGACATTTCATAATTCATTATCTAATGGAAATCCCTCTTGCCTTCTGAGACACTACTGGGTCATGGACTGAGCCACTGCCTGTGACTAGTCTACCTTTTACAAAGATATTGGAATCAAATAGATTTATCTCAATGAGTGTCCAACTTTCAACTCTTACTACTCCCCACACACACACACACACACACACACACACACACACATCCCTCTTATTTTATTCAGTTTCCGTTTTATGTCTTTACATAAAACATCTGTTACTTCATGAAATTGCCTCTATTTACAGAGTATTTTGTTATTTCTCACAGAGGAAAAAAATTGTAGTGTTCTTAACAGGATTCTAATTTTCTTTTATTTTTAAATGAGCTATTTCATTGAGAAAAATAGGAAAATATATTTACCCATATGAGGATGATTCCCCCCTCTCCTGACTCTATTATTTTACATCTTGAAATAGAATGCTTTTTTCATAAATCATATATCACCAAGAATTTGGGAAATACTCATTTTCTGCAAGTGAACTCAAAAGTATCCTTCCCAGGTCTTTACAATCTTAAGTAGCAAAATAATTTTTTTAAAGTCATGCATTATTATTTTTTTTACCCAGAACTTTAAGTCCAGGGATTTCTAAACTGCTATAAATGAGATTCATTGAAAGAAGTGAACATCCTTGAAATAGAGGTACAGTTAGATTTCTAGGGGCTTTTGTGGGGGGGACACCAGTCAGTCCGGAAAATAACAGAGGAAGGATTCCTCAGACCAGAATGGCGGAGAAGAGATGCTTGAAGGGGTACAGCTGAAGTATGAGCTGGGTTCTCATGACAAGTTGGATAAAATGTGCAAAATTGGAAGCTAATGAAAGCCATATGACCAGATATGTTGCTTTGTATGCAGGATTTAACATGCATAAAATAAACTTTTCACTGTGCCCACAAGCAAAATCTCAAGGCAGCGGGCTCCTTGTGTGGGGCTGCGGCAGGTAGGAGAGCAGAGGCTTGCTGTGGGAGAAGGTCTCTCTTGGCTTGTTACAGAGAAGGCGTGGGTGCTGGCTGTGTGTGGGGGCGGAGAAGAGGAGTATTCTAAGAACTGCATATGCAGAACTGAAGTAGGAAATAAAGGAACTGGGTTGTAGGTTGTAGAGGGAGACCGGGAATGTGAGTGGCAAAGACAGTAATAGGATCCGTGACCATGAACTCCAAGCCTGCCTCGCAGTGCAGAGTTGCTTGAACTCAAACCCCTAAAAGAAAGGAATTTCTCATTTTTGGAAAAATGAGAGCCGGTGTAGGGCAATGACCTATAAGAAATCTAAAGCCACCCCTTGCTTCATGTGTGAACCCTAGTGCCATGAAAGTCTTATCACATCCCACAAGTCATGGGGTGGAAGGCACAAAATAAACCTTACTAGACCCCAGTGCCCCTCTTCCTCTCCACGGAAACTCGGGCCTCAGTGTTCCCATCTACGAAATGGGATCCATAATCCTTAAGGGCAGGGCGAAGAGCAGGAGTCGGATGATGATCCCTGATGTTATTTCGGAGCAGGGTGATGGTTATTTATAAATACCTGTGTCCCGGGAATGTGCAGCCCCTGACTCGAGGGTCCACTCCATATTTGCCACCCTGAGACCACCTCATGGCAACCAGCAGATGCCACGAAAGTGCGCACCTGCCCGGAGACGTCTGCCATGCTCCACCTGGACACCCCCAGCCCAGGACCCCCACAGTGGGAAAGCCTCCTCACTCGGTGGAATCAAGGTGCAGAAGGTGGGGGAAGCAGGCAGGTTAATTCGGTTCTTTGCAACGTCCCGCAGCCAGGATGGGATTTTCCTTGTGGAACTCAAGGAAGCTCTCAGGGCGTGAGTCCGTCAGCCCAGCTCGAGACAGCATCTCCTCTGTCAGGGCTCCTCCTGGTTTCTCTTTCACTTCCTTCCCCCTCCCCCAGGCGTCCCCAGCACCCGAGCCCTCGGCCCCGGCTCCTCGGCCTGCTACTGTACCTTGAGCAGCACCTGCTGGCGACTCCCAGAGATCACGCCGGAACGCGCTGCCTGAGCCCACTCCGGGGCGCCCGCAGGGAGGGAGTCAGCGCCAAGCGGTTCCAAGCGGCCGTCTCTATTTTTACGCTGAGCACCACCAGCAAGGGCAACTTCTTTTAAGAGCAGCTCTTGATTTTTCCCCCCTTTTGGCAGCTCAAGAATTCAGGGAGGGGAATAAGGGTGGGGAGAGAAAGAAAGAAAAGAAAATGAAAAAAAGAAAAGAAAAGAAACAAATTTCACTGCTTAGTGTACAGTTTGGGAATCTCTGAACTCAGCGCGCACCCCCGGGACTCGCACAGGGTCCCCAGGACCCGGGCCGCGGGGCGCGCGCGTGCACTCTGCCCCCACCCCGCACTGAGCCTGCACTTGGGTCCCCAGCTACTGCGCCCGCAGGGTGGCCCGCTGCCACCGCCCAATTCACCTAGCGGAGGCGGACTGATTTACTGGCTACTTCACAAAGCTCTCAACTCCAGGCTACAGCATATTTATATGGCTCCGTGCAGCCACTAGCGAGCAGCTTGCTGCGACAGGGAGCCGGGAGGGAAACTGGTACCTTATTTT